TTTTTTTTTTTATCTTACTACTTTTCCTTTTATTTATAATATGTTATTAGCACAATTATCTCCATCATTCAATTTGTGGTAAGCTCTTAAGGTAATCCTTTGTTTGTTAGTTTCAATTTGATTTTAATATTTAATTAATTTTTATAGCCATAATGCTAGACTTGACAAAATTGGAAATTGCTGCTCTTTTTTATAATAGGTTCAAATTATTTGCAATGGATACTTGATGTTAAAATCCATTTTGGTTGCAAATAATCTAAGTGAAACAATTATTGAAGAAAATTAAGCATCCTTACAAGATCGCATTAAAGTGTTGAGATTTATTTAGCATCATCTCTATGAGGGATTGAAGGTTGAATATTTGACAATCAAAGATCCATTTGAATTATAACAAAATTTGAAATCATTAGAAAAACGCTAAGTTTTTCAACCAATTGTCCAAACACCCAATGATGTAAAGCTTGTTGGTATAAATGGGTGTTCATGAAAAAATGAAATGAGGAAAATGAGGTTGTGAGATACAAACTAAACTTGTAGATCAAGGCTTTACACAAATACCTAACATTAATTATGAGGAAACATATTTTCTTGTGGTCGATGCAAGTCATACTAGAAGTTTTTAATAAGTTTAGTAGTTTCTAAAGGCCTTCAAATGTGCCTTATGAATGTTGTAACTACTTATATGAATCACTTGATAGTAACCTTTATATGAAAGTCTCTGTTGGCCTTAAAATGCTTAAAACATACAACTCAATGCTAAAAGAGACATTTTAAATAAAATTAAAACAATTTTTGTATGGGTTGAAACAATCAGGGCAAATATAGTATAATTAGCTAAGCGAATATCTTTTAAAAAAAAGATATGAAAATAATCATATTAACACGTGTATTTATCAAGAAGTTAAAACCTAGTTTTCTATCATTGTTATATATGTTGATGATATAAATATCATTGGGACACTTAGAGACCTTAAAAAAGTAGTTGAATATTTAAAGAAAACCTTTGAGATGAAAAATCTTGAAATAACAAAATTTTATCTCAATTTATAGATTAAGCACTTATCAAATGAAATTTTGGTCCATCAACTAATTTATGTTGAAAAGATATTGAAGAGATTTAATACGGACAAATCTCATCTTTTAAGCTCTCCAATGATTATTCGATCTCCTGATGTAAAGAAAGATTATTTTCAATCTCATGAAGATAACGAAAAAATCTTTTGTCATAAAGTACCATATTTAAATGTCATAGGTATATTAATTTATTTAGCAAATAATACGTGACCTGATATTGCATTTTTTTTGTGAATTTGTTAGCAAGATATGGTTTTGCACCAATATAAAGATGTTGAAATGATATTAAATATTTATTTCATTATTTTCAAGAAACAAAATATATACATGGGTTTATTTTACTCAAACACTCAAAACAAAAGTTAATTGAATATGTAGATGTTGAATATTTGTCTAAACCATTTAAAGGGAGATTACAAATTAGGTATTTGTTCACATATCATGGTATCAAAACTGGCATCCAATTAAAAGATCTTTGTAGCCATATCCTCAAATCACTCAAAATTTATTATCGTATAGACAGCAAGTCAGGAATGTGTATGGTTAAGATCTTTGATCCAACATGTTCAAGAAACTTGTGGTCTTAAAATAATTACAAGAAATCTAACCTTATTATATAAGAACAATATTGCATGCATTGCACAAATAAATGAATGATTCATCAAATGAGATAGAACCAAACATATTTCTCCAAAGTTTTTCTCCACACATAAACTTGAACATGTTGGTAAAATAAATGTTTAACAAATCAATTTAAATGAAAATCTTTCACATTTTCCCACAAAATCTCTACCTACCAAAGTTTTTGAACGACTTGTACACAAGATAGGCATGTGACACTTTAAAGAGTTTCGTTGAAGTGATAGGGAGTATTATACATACTGCACTCTTTTTTCTTTGCTATGGTGTTTATCTCGCTAGGTTTTTTCTAACAAGGCTTTTAATAAGGCAATTTTAAAATGTATAACACAAAAATGGTAAGCATCCAAGGGGGAGTACTGTGAATTTTCCTATTAGTACATGCTTCACCTTCAAAGGTCCACTAAGGTGTCATTCATGGCTCCACTAATGTACCATTCATTCTCTCATTTAATTCTATTCAATGGCTAATGTAACTCCCACATGTCCCTTAATGTATATGTCAACCTACAAGTTTATATGATTGGTACATGGAAGAGTATATTAAAAATATGAAATTTTTACATTTGTTTGTTATTTTGCTACTTTTTCTTTCCTTTTATAATAATATTTGATTTTAAATTAATAAGTAAATTGTATTTAGGTAAGGAAATAAATTATTATATTAAAATATTTAAATACAATCTTTCATTAATATTAAAATTGAATATATTATTTGATTAATTAATTACTAATAGATTAAAATTTTAAAATTTATTATTATTATTAGAATTAAATAAATTAATTCATTGATCAAGTAATCAAATACTGA